ACATCAGCAGAGAACTGCCAGAAGTCCAGGCTGGGTTTAGAAGGGGTTGTGGTACTAGGGATATTGTAGCTAATGTTAGATGGATATTGGCTGAAAGCAGGGAGTACCAGAGGAAATATATATATATAAATTTACAAAAAGAGAACTGGGATGAGAGTAGGGAGAGAATGTGTGAGAATGAATGACTGAATGAGAATCCAACTTATAAAAAAAATCACAATTAAAAAAGAAAAGGTCTAGTTGAGGGGGGAAAACATACTGATTTGGGAACTTCAAGTGCCTCATTGACCTTGGAACTCTTCTTATAGTTTGGAATCTTTAGAAGGAAGGGTTTCTTCTCCCTTTTTTACCACCTAGAAGACATCTTAAGCCTTAAGGCTATAGAAAAAAATCCAGACTGTCTCAAAACTCCTGTAACTCACACTTGTTCTATCTAAGGGTTTGTATTGTTGGAATATTTATTCACTAAATCATTGATTCATTCAGATGCAAAGAAAATACAGAGTTTGGGGCGAGGGGGGGAACCACCTAATGAATCATTCCTTACTAGTCTTTTTAGGATTTTGATGAGGACTTAAATGATTCATAAAAAATGTAAAAGGAGACAAAAGGGAGGAGGGCCTACTAAGATCAGTGAAAGGGAGCTCTGGTATCCTAATGGTAAGGATCTGTGCTGCCAATCCAAAAGCAGGGGGTTCGAATTCACTAGCTACTCTTTAGGAGAAAGATAGGTGATCGTCTCACATGAATACACTGCCTCTGAAAATCCTCTGGAGGGTCAGCAATGAGTCAGTTCTGACTAAATAGTATATAGCAACAATGAAGTCAGAGAAAGAGAAGATCCTCAGAAGATGAATAGATATAGTGACTATACCACAAGTATTTCATAGTTATTCAAAGAGTCGCTTAGAGTCATAGTCGATGTTACAGTACCTAACAATAACGACAACAACAAAAGGTCTTCTTAAGAGAACATGGTGACTGAGAGTGATTTTCTTGGGGGGTGGGGGATTTGCAAAATATTATCATGTGGATGAATTTTTTTTTATTTAACTTAGTT